CTCTCTTTCTCTCTCTCTCTCTCTCTCTCTCTCTCTCTCTCCCTCCCAGCCTGTCGTCCTCCTCTGTTTCTAACTCTCTCTCCTCCCCAGACTCTCTCTCTCTCTCTCTCTCTCTCTGACACCCTGCCGTCCTCCTCTGTTTCTAACTCTCTCTCTCCTCCCCAGACTCTCCCGGCAATCATCTGTTCCAGAGCTCGGAGAAAAACTGAAAACTCTCTTCTGACCAGACAAACCCGAGCGGAGCGGCGGGCGCAGCGAGAAGCAGCCAAAGTAAAGTGGCGCCCAGACGCCCCTCGACCTCTCCTGCTGCATCTGGACATCACAGCTCGCTCTCGCTCTCATGGTCAGCTAAAGGAGCAGCTCGAGGAGCAGCAGAGGTGAAGCTTCAACACTCGTTTTTAAAACCACAGAAACGCTCCATGTTCATAAAGAAGTAAATAAAGTTTGTTCATCTCCTGAACAGGCGGTGGACTTTCTCAGCAGAGGACACTCTTCATCTGTTCTGTCTTTCTAGACTCCATCAGTGGACCGTCCCTCTTCCTCCTGCAGCGAGCTCTTCAGTCTCTCCCCGTCCTGCTGACCCTGACAGAGACATCACCGTAGATGTTCTCCACGCTCTGCTCAGGTTTGACCTTCTACAGCGTGACATGAACATGATCCTCCAGTGAAAACCTGTTTGTCTCATTCATGTTAACGATGTCCAAACATGTCCACATGTCTCTGTCTCTGCAGGGACATACTCTCTGATTTCAGCCGTTCTTGGATCTCTTCAGGGTTCAGGTCTGTCCCCCGTCAACATCCAGAGGAGACTCTCTCCCAGTGTTCCCCTTTACCAACCTCCCATCCCACATCTTCATCACCTCGTGCTGCTCCTCCTCCTCAGCTTCTGTTGAGTGAAACCAAAGCTGGACAGGACCAACAGCCCGCTCTAGTGGACAGACAGGGAACTGCAGGAGGTTCAGTTAAAGAGCCCCAAACAGAGAGTATGAGAATGGCGCCTGCTGGCCCGTGTGAGGAGGTTCTTCTGAGAACTCTCCAGAACCTGATGATGGAGGCGGTCAGAGGAGAGCTCATCCTTACTGCTCACCCCCGCTCTGTGAACCTGTTTCCCCCCAGAGAGGACAAGAGAACATCGTAAAGACTCACAGAGTTCCTCTGTCTGATGCAGCTGTCAGGAATTAAAGATCGAACCAAAGAACATCAGACTGAGGGACTTTACAGACGAAGATGACCGACGGTCATAAACAGGAACAAAGAACATCAGACTGAGGAACTTTACAGACGAAGATGACTGAAGGTCATAAACAGGAACTTTTAACATCAGACTGAGTGACTTTAGAGACGAAGATGACCCAGGGTCATAAACAGGAACTTTTAACATCAGACTGAGGGACTTTAAAGACGAAGATGATTGAGGGTCATAAACAGGAACTTTCATCCCACCATCTGACGTTTGCCCCCTCCTGTCAACATCTCACTTACTGACTGTTTCTTCTTCTCCATATTCACTCAAACCAGAACATGACATCTGTTTCACAGACTTAGAGCTTCAGATTAAAAACCTCATCCAGGTTCATGTGAGGGGACGTGTGTCTACAATACCATACTAGTTTAAATGTCAGAACCATCAAACTTCAGAGTCTCTGCTGAACAGAAAACTGACCAGGAAAAGGTTTAAAACAATTAAATAAATCACCTCATTCAGAGTCTTTTTCTGTGTTTTTTCCCCTGAGAGTAAATTAATAACTTTTTAAAAACATGTCGTTGACTTTTCTACATCAAACTCTTTTCTCCTCTTTTTTAATCCAAAGCCTTGATTGTTAACGTTTCATTGTCCGGTCTAATCGTCTCTGCTGCACTCAGAGTTCACAGAAATACTAAGTCTGATCATCTGGTGTGAAGTCTGGATGGAGCTGAGCTCACTGTTTTAAACGGGTCTGTCTCTAAAACACAGAGAAGAAAAAGAGTTTTTTCAGGACTCTCAGTGAAAATGTCTGCTGAGTAAACAGGAAACTCTGGTGAGAGGCGGAGCTGAGAGGCGGAGCTGTTCTCATGTTCTTCACTGGAGATGGATGAACATCAAAAACCCTTCAGAGCTAAAAAGGTCCATTTAGAACTTATCAGGACCTAAACCAGGACTTCAGGAAAACCAGCTTTAAAACCAACCTTGAGTCAACACTGTTTTGGTTTTTCACAATAAGAGCTTATTAACTCCTTTTTAGTTTCTTACCTAAATGAAGTAGAAATGGTCGGGAAGATATTTATACTTGTGCAGACTTTACTCTGAGAATCTTGAGCACCCAGATCAAACTCTCCATGAATCGTTCGAATCAAAGCGTTTGTGACTCATTTGTACCTACATGTGTGTTTTTTACTGAATTTAGAAATCAGAGTCGATCAAATGATTGTTTTTTAAAAACAGCTGTGTCAGTGAATATCAACATTATAACTTTATTAATCTGTTAAATGATCACAGTCAGTATCCATTCAAGTGTATAAAAACACACTCAGCTGAAACACTCCTGCTAAAATTACAGGGAAATCTTCTATCAGCTGAACCAAACAGAAGAATTCAGAACTTCACTTCCTGGTTTCATCAAGTTCTTCTCTGATCCTTTAAGTGAAAGCTGGTGAAGGTTTCTGCTGCTTCACTGCTGCTCTGACTAATATCACCTTTAAGACGAGCTGAGAGTGAAGTCTGCAGACAAACTTTCCTTCAGTGTTTTTATCGTCTTTATATTTGTTACAAACACTAAACGTTATAATCTCCTTCTGCACCTTCTCTACTGAGTACATGTCCTTTTTCTGCACTTGTCCTTGTAGGTTCTCATTCATCCAGGCCATGGTTTTCTTCAAGACTCCAAAAACAGGTAACTGGACCTCAACACTCCCAGTGTGCATCATTCAGAAAACATCCACGCTGTCACATGAACATCAGGCCGTTCCTTTGGTTGGACGTGTTTTCAGTGAGTGAACTTTGAGATGGTTGAGAAGATCTTGTCGTGTAGATATTTGACCTGCTCCTCAAGAGATCGCAGCCTCTCAAACTCAAAGTACGGAATCTGTGGAAGAAAAAAAAACGACTTTATCAGAGACGTTTGTTTTTTCCTGTGAGGATCTCATTTCAAGAGTGAAGCTTCAGCTGACAGGACTTCCTCATGTTGGAGCGAGTTACAGACATAAAGACCAGACTGTGAACCGGTCTCGAGCGCTTCATCTTGTCTGAAGTCAAAGGTGTTTGAAAACTTTAAAGATCTTGGTAAATATTAATCTGTCCAACACGTTTCCTCAGACCTACCTGGACCACCTCGTAGCCCATCTTGAGGAGGTGTCTCCTTTTGGTGGCTTCTCTTCCCAGCAGGGTTGGTGTGTTGCTGCAGAAACGGCTCTGACCATCCAGACACAGCGCCACCCTGAGGACAGATAGGATTAAAGAGACTATGAACCACAGGAACCTACAACCCTGAGAGGTCAGGGTCTCACAGTCTGCATCAGTGTGGACAGTGTTGTCGACTTGTTTTCAACGATGTTTGTATTAAAGTCCATTTTCTCTGTTTTTTCTCACCTTCTTTCGTTTTGTTCCCACTCAGATGGAAGCAGCACGTATCCGTTTTCATCAAGGCACATTTCCACATCTTGGCAGAAAAGAGAAGAAAACACCAACAGCATGAGGAGACTCCAGATATTACAGAGGAACGTAAATATGTCAGGATGAGGTTTGGTGTATTTTCACCGATGTTTCAGGGACAGCATCTTAGAACATATCAACACTCTGTATCTCTGTCTGGTTATCACTCACCTATTATGTAGCCGGTGGGACTTAAGGTCCTGGTGGAGTAAAAGTTCCCCCCGAGCAGCTGCTTCAGACTCCGTTTGACCCGTCTCTGAAACAAACCGTCCGTAGGGGTCTCTGAGGCCAGGTCTGCTGAGCACAACCTTTTCACATGGAAGGCGTACGGCAGTTTGGGGCCCTGGTGAGGAAAACAGGTTACAGCCTGATTTACTTCAGCTGCTTCTTTAAATGTTCTCAGTGAGAGTAAAGGAGGAACATCTCTCTCACCCTGAAGTGTGTGCACTCCAGAGAGGTGGAGAGGTGGAGCTGGGTCAGCTGTCCCAGGACATCCCTGTCCAGAGGCTCTCCCTGAGCTGCAGGACAGACACAGACATGGCATGATGCTACACAGGTTCAACACTAACAACATTAACAACATTAGCTTAAAGGGATATTCCGCTGTAAAACTAATTTAGGGTCAAACACACCGAAACAACATCATTACTTCATGGAAATACAATCAGACCGAGACGCTAAGACAGAAGAACTACGACGTCTGTAAAATGATTAATATGGTGATTATTACTTCAAGGAAATGATAAAGAAATGTTCATAAATGTTCTTCCTTGAGCTGCGGCACCCCGCTGTAGTCTGTAATGGACTGGCCTGAGGTCTCTCTACAAACAAGCGTCTGCTGGAAGAGAGTAGGTGAGTTGTGTTTAGTCTCTTTGTTAAAGAAATGAGTCAAAGTTAAAAAGATGTTTGGTGTCTAGTACTATGTCTGTGACCCTATATGTCCTGTTGATGAAGTTAGGTGCTGTTCTGAGCATTATTTGTGGCTATAGAGTGGCGTTTTGGTTGGGGGCGTGGCTCTCTGTATTTCTATCCTGCGGTTGTTACTAAAGTTGGTATAACTAGAGAAGGAAGCGGTCGACAACATTCATCTCTGGAGGGGGGGTCTAACTCTGTATCATGGTTTGTTTGACCCTAACTTAGTTTTACGTCAGAATATCCCTTTTAAGGATCGGTAGTTTTTTCAAACATGAGGTTTTCTGAGAGAGAAGTCAAAAGGGAGTGTAACAACTAAACAGGAAACCAGGAGAAACACACCTGTCTGACCAACGTCCACATTAAAGAGCTCCTTCTGAGGAGGTCTGACCTAAAGTCTGTCCCAGAGTCCCAGAGACACTCTGTCAGTGAACTCAGAGCCAATGAAGAAAAAAGTCCCACTGAGTGATTTTGCTTCAGCAGGAGTAGAGGTCAAACTGAGACGTGTCTGTTTCATGGTTGGTCACGTTCTCTACTGCTCCTCAGTGACTGTACTCTCATGTACAGTTTGTATGTCATTGTTCAGTAGACAGGTATAAAGGGACACCTGTGTCTGACACAGTCTCTCACTCTCACCCTGAAGCCTCTGCAGAAAGAACGGGCTGAAGACTCTGGACAGGTGGTTGAGCGGGAAGCGCTCCAGGTGGATGCAGGCGTGCAGAACCTCTATCAGAGAGCGAGGAGCAAAGTGGGAGAACCTGGTGGACAAGATGGTCTCCAGCTTCTTAAACATCTGAGTGGAGCACTGAGGGGTTCAAAGTTATAGAAGAACACAGAAGAACAGACTAGTTAGTGTCATTTTCACTGAGAGGAATAAAAACTTATATATTATTATATTTATTAACTTTACAGTGTTTTAACATAAACCCACACCTGAGGCAGGAAGCTGAGCCTCCCCATGGCAACAATCTGTTTGGCTATCTGGGGGGTGCTGTGACTCTCAGCGTGGAGGACAAAGTTCTCGGCCACAGCCTCAAAGAGCGGCTCAGAGCGGACCCTCATCTGCAGACAGTACTCCATGACGGTGCTGATGAGCTCTGGATCACAGCGGCCCAGTCTCCCTGAGACACAGAAGATAAAGGATCAGGACTGAGACATCAGGACTGAGACATCATCAGGACTGAGACATCAGGACTGAGACATCATCAGGACTGTCCTCCTCTGATCAAACTGTGTTTATCATGGACCATGTTTGTCTGAACCCTGCTGAGGGAATCAGCCTCACCTGGCAGGTTTTTCTCCATGGCAGCCAGGAGCTTCACATCATGCTGTCCCAAGATCATCAGCGCAGAGAGCACCTTTATAACTTCATGGTCTCTGAAGGCTCTGAAGACCTGAGACGCTCTGTGACTCAGCCTCAGGACCAGAGAGATGGCCTGTGAACAAACATGAGATCTGATCACACAGATGATCTCAGGTGGGATTTGGTGTCTCATACATCATCATCACTCTTGTTCTCCATGAAAACACTTTAACATCTCCAATCAAACATCCAGAAGAAGCTCCTGCTGCTCTTACCTGTCTCTCCTGCAGCTTCAGCAGGACTTGCAGTATTTCACTAACTTGTCTCGCCTTGAGCCGGTGGACCATCCTCTCTGTGCGTCTGTGCAGAGTGGACAGCGTGGACATCTGCTGCAGGTTCCCTGGATCATGACACAGAGTCAGAAGGGAGTAAACTCTGGCAGCTTGATCTGGAGGAACATCATCCTCTTCAACAGCAACATCTATGGAGTTCAGGACCTCTGCTAGCACGGCGGACCCGTGACCTTTCAGGGCGTAGGACACCTCCCCCAGGCGGCAGAGCTGAGCCACGCCCAGGTCCTTGAGTGACAGGAGCTCCATGCATTCACTGATCAGTCTCTGGACCAGAGAGTTCTGCCCGTCCAAACCAGACTCCACACACGCTCCCAGAAGAGCAGCCAGTCCCTCTGCTCGGTCATCGCTGGGGAGGTCTGCCAGTCTGGAGCAGAGTTCTGGGACCACGTCTCCTTCACACAGAGACTGGATCCTGACGGGTGCAGCTCTGCTCGGAGGTCTGGAGGAGGGCCTGTATGGAGAGAGGTTCTGGGAGGCTCTTGCAGCAGGTTTCTGCAGCAGGTGTCTGTCCAGCAGCTCGTCCTCCACTTTTCCTGGTCTGGGGGGAAACCTGATGGGGGGTGCTGCACTCACCTGCTGCACCGCTGCGGGGTTCACCTGCGTGCTGAGGAAACTGAGCACACCTGGTCTGGGGGTTTTCTCCAACCCACAGCATCTGTCCGCCGAGCTGCAGAACAACAGACCCCGACTGAGAGGGAAACAGGTGGAGGTGTGGAGACAGACCATCCTGACAGACGCGGACAAACACGACACGGACTTCATGACTGTGTCTGTGAAGTGAAGAGAGAGGGTCTATGTCTGTGGACAAGAGAGAGAACAGACACTCAGGACATTTACAGGATTTACTGTCAGAGGACAAATGTCCAACTGACAAAGACAAACTGAAGCTCAGAGTAAAACAGAAACTCCGGATTAGAGTTTAGTTTGTAAAAGTAGACAAACTTCATTTTCAGGTCCTGAAGAGTCTCAGACTTACCGACACCGAGTCCTGAATGAAGACCCTCTGACTGTTACATGTCTCGATCCTTCACTGTTTGGTAACACGTTGTGTAAGATTACATGTGTTTACACGTGTTTGCCCCCCTGTGGTCAAACCCTTAACTGCACGCCGGCTGCACGTGATATACTCTGGAGCTCTGTGATTGGCTGAGCCGGCCTTAGGTCATCCTCCTGTGAGTCTGTCTCCTCAAAACCACCATGAGAGACTCTGGAGAAAACAGTCAAAATTATATAATAATATAATATTATCAGAGTTTCAAAGACATCTTTTAAGTTTTTCAATATCAAATCAATAATCAACTGGATTTCCGGATCCTGGGCCCCTTTAAGAAGACTACAGTACAGAAAACTGAAGGTCTAAACAGTCACCAAATCCAGAAGACCTGAATAAATCAATAAATGTCAGTAAAAGTCAGTACAATGATCTCTGACCGAGTAAAAAACAATAAAAACTCTTTTTTTATGCTCTAAGCTCGTCACTGTTCTCTGTGTGAGTGTCGGTAACCTCATCAATAATAATTAATCCATTGTTACAAAGGAAGAAACACACACACACACACACACACACACACACACACACACACACACACACACACACACACACACACACACACACCTCTGGCGGTGGATCATGGTTCATCAGTTTTGGTCTTACTGCTTCTTCCTCTAATATTCCACCAGATGGCGCTACATACTAAAAACCCTGATCCACATAGTTCACAGCTGAGTTTGTCCACATGTTAGTGGAGAACAGACTCCAGGTGGGTGTGTTACAATAACAGATTATAAAAATATAGTTTCTAACATTAAAACCAAAGAACATGAAAAGACTGATTCTGTCTGATTTTCAGATTTCTAATGAAATTAAATCAAAATCAGCTCCAATGAAACTTCTGTCCTGAAAGTCAAAGAGGAAAACAAAGATTCAGATTTTCACCTTTTTCTCTCTTTTATGATTGAAGTTGTTTTTGATGAGATCAGCAGCTGCTCCTCACACAGGTCACCTCTCAGCCAACAAACAAGTTCAACAGGTGGAATAAAGACGCCTGAAGACTTATTCATGAGCAGGTTCTGACTGTGTGTGTGTGTGTGTGTGTGTGTGTGTGTGTGTGTGTGTGTGTGTGTGTGTGTGTGTGTGCACGCATGAGGATGCAGAGACACAGACGAGCTTCTGAAAGCTGATCCACGAGTCATCTGCACCCAACATCTCCAAGACCATCTATGTGTGTGGCTGCTGTTTGTGTGTGTTTGTGCGTGCGTGCGTGCTTGTGTGTGTGCGTGCGTGCATGTGTGTGTGCGTGCCTGTGTGTGTGTGTGTGTGTTACCCATCTGGCTGCTTTTTTCTCTATCTCTCTCTCTCTGCGGCACCAAAGCCCTCTGGATCTGCTGGATCTGAGCTGGACGGAGAAGAAAGAGTCCAAGATTTGGTGCTTCAGAGTCGTGAGCGGGGCAGCCTCGATAAGATCGACCAGAATCACGTTACTGCTCTGCCGGTAAAGCTGATGAATCACCCTGAAGAGTCACTCCTGCTGTTTGTGCCCCTGAGAGCGTTGTGAGGGAAAAATGAGTCAAAGTGAGTCAAAGTGAGTTGGTTTCACTTTCTGAGTCGGTGAGTTTTCATCAGTTCTTCAATCAAAATCATCTGATTTGAATAAATCTGCAGTAAACTGGCCTTTACAGTCATTATGAGGAGAAAACGCTGCTCCTTATTCCAACCTGTCTGGATTATAATCTGAGCTGGTCTGACAGTCCTGCCGATCATCAGGGTGTCAGAGCTGTTGGATCTTTCTGAAGGTTAATATAATGTTGAGCAGCTGAGGATGTCCTTCTGTGTATGTATGCAGGAATAACATCACAGCAACACACTGAGGCCCAATCTAATCTAATAATCTAAAGTTCAGCAGTGATGTTATCATCACTCACAAATAAATGTGACGCATTTGGGAAACATGTCTCCCCCGTCCCTCTCTCGCTTAAATTATTTCTGCTATTGGATTAAAAATAACAAAGTCCAAATGATGAAGTTTTCTGGGAAATTAGAAAAGTATGGTGATTTATTACATCCAGACTCATGGATCATGTTAGAACTGCAGAGCAGCGCTCTCACACTGGTGGACGGTGTTACACTAAGAGACAAAGAGAGACTGAGTCCAGCTCAGATGGAGGATCAGGTCCAGTTCGTTTGGATCTGCTCAGTAATGACAGCCTGCTCTCTGGTTCCAAAGTGTCTCTTTATTTTACACAATTTTCTTCAGTATAAAAACATAAATAATGTACAGTATTAAAAAACAACTAAAAGGAGAAAAGGATGGACATCAGCCCTCAAAAAGGATCCAAAAGTCTCGTCATTCAGGTACTAAAGTGAAGTTGTGTCCCATCACTGTCCGTCCCTGAGGTCCACACATGTGTGACTCAGGCTGAGAGACAGCAGCTGTGTGTCGTCCCCTTTTCTCTGTGACCCCCTGAATGAAATACGTGGATTTTGTTTATTTTCTGTAAACTCTAAACTCATTCAGAGCTCCTGAACTTCTGCAGATACGATCGTTTTTATTTCAGATCTGAAGTTCAGACAATCGAGCACAAAAGTTCCTCTTTCAGGAGGACTGATATTTGGACCCTGTGGGACGTCGGTGTCTTATCACACGTTTGTTTTTTTAGTCATGACAATAATGAAGCTCTGTGAGGTCTGTGGACCCGCTTTGTTCATTTCTAACAGCTCGTGTCTTCATTGTTCGGCCCGTTCCTGCAGACATGGACCTGCAGTAGAATAGATGTTACTTTATCAGTTTGGTTTTAAGAAACTCTTACAGAAATGAAGAAGGAACTGTAATCTCAGTTCTGCTTCATCATGGATTCTGTTGGAGTTTGAGAAGACGTGCCGCGCCCTTTACATAACTGTCCTCTTCTCGTCTGTTGAACCTGTGAACTAAGATTTTCAGATTTTCAGATTTTCTCGTCTCCCTTCGTCTTAAGAGTTTCTGGAGAAATTAATTAAGTCTTTGACAAGAAATAAAAGAAATACCTTTATTATCAGTGCAAGTAAATAAAGCCGTGTCGAAGTTAAGGACCGGGATTAACCATGTTTTATTGATTTATTCAGCATCTTCTCTCTCTGTTAAATAAAACTACAGAAGCCAAAGTCCCAGAGAGGAGCTGAAAGTCCTCCGACAAACTCCTGATACAAGAAAAGAGCCGAACCTGGAAGATGATCACCTGAAACTGAGATTTTTATTACTCTTCAAACTCCCACTTCCTCCTCCTCCGCAGGTTTTCAGCCTCCATCTTTATTTACAGCAGAGCCTGAGGTTAGAGGGGTTAGGATAACAGGATAATGTGGTCTGTGGTTGTTGTTGACAGGTTTGTCAGTTTTAGTGAGAGAAAGTTCACAAACAGAGTTTCTTTGTTACCTGCTCAAACAGGACAATTGTTTTTCATAACCTACCAAATCAGACCGTCTGCATCTGGACGTGTAAAATCATGTATCAATACTTCAACCTGAGAGTGTGTGTGTGTGTGTGTGTGTGTGTGTGTCAGTGCCAGTTCTGAAAGTATTTGGTGAACATGCCTTTCTCCTGAGGATTCCAGGGATGACTGCGGTCGGTTTTAAAAACGCTGTCATGTGTTTCTGATTTGGACCTAATTTCAGATGTCATATAAAATATTAGCTCCTCTGGGATTTCAAATCAATTTCAGATCAGAACAGCCTGGGGAATGTGTTCTGTGGACTCCAGAGTACAGATGAGGCGTTCTTTCTACGGAAACAAAAGGGCACACGCGTAACACGGAGAGGGGAGGAAAGGGGGAGACGAAGGGGGAGGAAGGGAATCACAATCACATCCAGAGGTAGGTGGTGCTCTCTGGCAGACAGTAGGAATCCATTTCACGCCCAGATGAAAGCAGTGTGAGAGGGAGAATGTGTGTGTGTAGCCTGTGGATGATAGGTGTGGCAGGACAGGGGTGAGGCCTGTTAGCTTTTCCTGGGTGGAGGAGGGAGGGAGGGAGGGAGAGAGGGAGGGAAGGAGGGAGGAAACACTTCATAACAGTTCGATCAGAGTTATTACAAAGGGCTGATGATGTTCTGGTTCATCTGAACATCTGCCACACCTTCTCCTCATGAAGAACAACTCATTATAATATAAGTACGCTGGATTACAGGAATACTTCACTGACAGAAACAAGATTTACTTTAAAGAAAAATACTGTATTTACACGCAAATGATTGAAGTAAAATTCAGTGCTGCAATATCAGGTAACACTCACTGTCCAGTATCAAGTAAATTTTACTTAAAGAATGACAGTTGTAAATATATTAAGTAACATTTACTTCATTACATCCAAGTCTAAGTTTTATTTATTTAAACAAACTAAGTCCACCTCATTTTAGGACGTCTGATACCTCTGTAGTATTTGCTGTGGTGGAGTTATTAAGTAGATATAAATTATTATTTTAATTATATATTGATTATTAATTTAACAGAGAACTCAATTCTTACTAAATCTTAAAAAAACAAGGTAGAAATGATGACAGTTACTCTGATCGTAGACTACGGTGCGCCTGCGTCATGCATGTATTTTAAAACACTGTCAGAGTAAAGTTTATGTAATATTTGTATATCTGTTTATGTACATACAACCATTAAAAATAATAATAATAATAATAATAATAATAATAATAATACTATAATATAATAATAATATAATAATAACAATACTATAATATAATAATAATAATAATAATAATAATAATACTATAATATAATAATAATAATAATAATAATACTATAATATAATAATAATATAATAATAACAATAATATATATATAATAATAATAATAATAATAATAATAATACTATAATATAATAATAATATAATAATAACAATACTATAATATAATAATAATAATAATAATAATACTATAATATAATAATAATAATAATAATAATACTATAATATAATAATAATATAATAATAATAATAATAATAATAATAATAATAATAATAATAATAATGATAATAATAATAATAATAATAATATATAATAATAATAATAATAATAATATATATATATAATAATACTATAATAATATAAATAATAATAATAATAATAATAATAATAATAATAATAATAATAATAATAATATATAATAATAATAATAATAATAATATATATAATACTACTATAATATAATAATAATAATAATGATACTTTATATAATACTAATACCACCATGACACCAGTGTCTTCTGTGTCATCATTAGACGGGACATCATGTTTACTCTGTCGTGTCTCATTTACAGAAACAGAGTCGTCCTGTCATGACTGTGGTTTATGGTAAACTTGACCAGGACCCCGTTACAACCTGATTTTTATGACATGTAGGGAGTCTAGACGGCTGAAACCACAGGATACATGCGGTTTACCAAGAGCAGAAATATAATCTTAATCTGATTATCGCAGATATGTGTCAGTCTGGATGCTCACATTGTTTTCAGTCTCATCAGTTTTCTTCTCACTGCGACACAAAACAAGTCAAATACTGAAACAGAATTACATAAAGGGACTAAAGTGATGCTAACATGGTTTTCTGGAGTAACAGAGGAGTGACCCTCATTTATCAGAGTTACAGATGCGATTGACTAACCCAGACTAACCCAGACTAACTCTGACTAACCCAGACTAACCCTGACTACCCCAGACTAACCCAGACTAACCCTGACTAACCCTGACTAACCCAGACTAACCCAGACTAACCCTGACTACCCCAGACTAACCCTGACTAACCCAGACTAACCCAGACTAACCCAGACTAACTCTGACTAACCCAGACTAACCCAGACTAACCCTGACTAACCCAGACTAACCCAGACTAACCCTGACTAACCCAGACTAACCCAGACTAACCCAGACTAACCCTCTGTAGCTGCAGATGATTGTTGATGTTTTAAAACACAAATCTATGACAACTGTGAAGACAAATCAGTCTACTGTTGTCTATTCCAGCAGGTGTTTTTAATTTTGTGAAAATAGAAACACAATGATCCCGGTGAGCCGGGGGGCTGATATAAAAGACAATGAAAGGTCTACAAAATTAGAAGAATCTGAAACATAAAAAACCCAGAAACTTCTAAAACGTCTGAAAAATCAGAAAAATCTTAAACATCTAAAACATGATCTGCTCCTCTGTCCTGATAAGACGGAGCGGTTCCAGAGGTGTGTGACATCAGGTGAAGTCAGGTGACTAATACAGCCGAGCTCAGTGGAGCGACAGGCGGGTCAGAACCTGAGAGAAAACAGCTGGACATGAAGAAGCTGTTCAGAGACTTAAAACCTTCTGATATGGTTCTTCTGGAGCTCTGCTCTCATGTGGACTTTGGTGGGTCACTGTTAGAATCATCTACATCCACTGGGTCAGAGGTTAACAAGAGGTGGACGTCTACGTCCCAGTAAACTGTAGGATGAGTTTTCTGACCATCAACCTTTAGTGTCTGTGAAGGCCGAGCAGGAACCGTGGAGGTAAGAGGGTCGATGGTCATTGACTGAACAGACCAGAAGAGACCAGAGTCCGTGTTCTTCATGTTTCAGTAAATCCCTCGTATCCCTCCCTTTGTCTGTGACACTGAATCACACATTTCCTCCCTGTTGTTCTGCAGAAGATCTTACAGAACAAAAATGATGTTATAATTTAAATGTAATGACAGAAAAATGCGTTTTTGGCAGTTCCCCGGGAGGCTTCTATATCTTTTAGGGCGTTCTCCGTTGTAACGCTGAAGCGAGTCCCTCCAGACGAATTATACACGCTGGAAGGACACGTCAGATAACTCCGCTCTGAGGTATGTGATTAAGGAGACTCAGCAAGGGAACAAACAACTACGAGGACTTCATCTGATCACCGAGTCATTTCAGGTCAACATGGCGTCATGAGAAGGATGGAGGGTGGGTAGAAGGACGACGGTTCTGCCAGGGAAATCTGGTTGCAGCTTCTGAATTGGCCAGAATAATGATATCATGTGTTTTAGAGCAGGACACTGAATCTTCTGCAGAGGGAAGTGTTGGAGAAACACGTTAATAAAGGATCAAATTACAGTTTTATTTAATTATGAATCATGAAATCTGTGTTTCTACTGAAGACGACCGTGACGGGGCGGGCCGGGATTTCAACGAACTGTGAGGAGGAAGGTCAGTTAGACGTGTGTGTGTGTGTGTGTGTGTGTGTGTGTGTGTGTGTGTGTGTGTGTGTGTGTGTGTCTGTAACATGTTTGTCGTTGTGTACAGTGATTGTGTGTGTGTGTGCGTGTGTGTGTGTGTGTGTGTGTAACATGTCGTTTGTCGTTGTGTACAGTGATTGTGTGTGTGAGTGTGTGTGTGTGTGTGTGTGTCTGTAACATGTTTGTCGTTGTGTACAGTGATTGTGTGTGTGAGTGTGTGTGTGTGTGTGTGTGTCTGTAACATGTTTGTCGTTGTGTACAGTGATTGTGTGTGTGTGTGTGTGTGTGTGTCTCTGTGTGTGTGTGTGTGTGTGTGTGTGTGTGTGTGTGTGTCTGTAACATGTCGTTTGTCGTTGTGTACAGTGATTGTGTGTGTGTGTGTGTGTGTGTGTGTGTGTGTGTGTGTAACATGTCGTTTGTCGTTGTGTACAGTGATTGTGTGTGTGTGTATCAGTAAATCTGAATATGTTCAGATTTTTATGTGAAGTTGTGAAACAAATGTTTATTTATGTTCGATAAGCTTTCATGAAATTAGTTGTTGTTTTAAAACTTAAATACAAACTGATAATATCAGTCGCTGATCTGAGATTGACAGCTTTTACAGCCAATCAGAGGTGAGAGCAGCTATGGCGCTGGTGTCTCAGTTATTTGCGATGGTAGAAACATGTTGGCAGAAGATGACAACCTCTGCAGCTGGTCGATTCAAAATCCAGGTTTATGCTTCTGCATCAGACCCAGGGTCCATGTAGTCCAGGACCCTACCCAGAAACCAAACTAATGTTCACCTCCTCACGAGGTACCTTGGCGTTAAAACGACACAAGTCCTGTGATTGGTCTGCTTTGGACATTTCCCGTATTGACACCATCACCTGTCCTCTTCTTCAGTGTCTGTAGTGTCTGTGTCTGTGTCTGTGTCTGTCGGAGTCTTCCATGTTTTCTCTTGATCATGCAGAGACACACCGACCCCCCACCACAGACTTCAGTAGTGCTCATAATCGCACCCACAGTACAGGTACAGTGAAGGTCTGATTTAGGAGTGTAGACCAGGTTAAAAGTCCTGGTTGACGATCTGATCTTCAGTTGAATAAAAACGAGGTTCATGATAATTACCAGCCTCTCCAATCATCAACCATGACTTTAAATTAAACCAAATCACTTTCTTAAAATACAGGTAACTCAGAAAAATATATTTCTGTTCCTTTAAAGACCATCTTTACTAACACAGAAGAACAGCGAAGACGTCTGATAGTCATATAAAAAAAAGTAACTCTCTCTGTTTTCATTAATGTGGATTCTGAGGACAATGTTCAGGTTTGAAAACAAAGAAAAAAGCTCAAACATGTACATGATGTATACGATTAATCTCCTGAACACGGGCTGACGGCCATCTGGTTAGGGGCTGTGCAGTGTCTCCTCCCAGCAGGCAACCAAAGCTGTGAGCCAAGACCCCAGGCTCAACACCCTGCCGGACTTTGAAATCAGATCTTTATTGTCCATAAAGCCTCGGCCAAGTATGAAGAATCAGCCCTCCCTAACAAAACACTCTCGTCCAGCAGAGAGGGGAGAACAGGACTGGAGAGAAACTGGTGTTGAGTCAGACGGACGGACGGACGGACAGAAGGACAGATGGACAGACGGATGAGAGGACAGCCAGTGCACGGTCCAGAACAATGGTCACGTGCACGCTCCCAACTGTGCCACTTTTATTTATAGGTCACAGATAACTCAATTTCCATAACTTTCTAATTCTGTTGTGGCGGCTCTCAGATCACATGTCAATACAACGCTCTCCGAGGACTCCAGCTTCTACAGTCCGCTCTGACTCAGCTGCTGTTCTCCACCTGACTTGAAGACGTCATACTGAGTCGTCTTTGGACTCACGGAGGAACAGCAGACACTGCAAACATCACTCCTCTGAACGACAACAATAGTGCCGATTCAGGAGGGCTGGATCTTCGGATCAACAGAGGCTCATGTTCCAGCAGGCCCAGGCTGTAATTAATGAATGAAGGAGAATAAGAAGTTCTTGTGACTGAAGCTGCATCAACCAATCACTGAGCTGCTTTTACAAAATGCAGAAAGTGTCTTTTTTTAGTGTGACTGCAGCCGAAACTGTGGTTCTCTGTGCAAACGTGTAGAAGTGAATTATATTCAACTTGTTAATGTAAAGAAAAGAATCCTGAAAATTCAACCCTGTCACTGAGAGTTCCTCCTGATCTGCTGCAGAGACCTGATATAAGCAGGAATAATACAAGGCTGGTTCCCTTGATAACAGCAGCTGGACCACATCTGGACTCTATCCTGAAGATCTCACCGAGTCCAACAGCTGATATCAAACCCTGTTCAGTCCCCATCAGCTCCTCAGACGTGCTTCTAAAGGAACAATCACAAACCTCCATGTTCAGACCTTCAACTGTTGTCCCCGCTCCTCCTCTCTCACATGGACATCAGAGAAGAAGACTTTCTAAAATAGAGTTTTAAGACCTTCTGACATGAGTGCAGGATGGAGGGGGACAGTTGAAGATATTTGAGCTCTCTGATAAAAACAGAAGCAGCCCACTCTCAGTCCCACTCTCAGTCCCACTCTCAGTCCCACACTCACAGAAGATCAGGTGGTTAAAGTGTGAAGCTGTAGGACGGTCCCTGAGTCCGACGGTCCCTGAGTCCGGGGCTCTGTGTGAGGGCCCTGCTGTGGGCTTCACCACACTGAGTTTTCACTGTGACTCTTCAACCCGTCGATTCTCCAGTGGGATTTCTCCGAAGGTCACCATGCATTTGAAGATGTCAACAGATGTTCTGTAAAGAAGAATTATCGGATAAAGTTTCGATAAAAACAAAAAAATAAAAACAAGAAACTAAACATGTCGATGAATCAGCCAAAAACTGCCTCCTCTTCAACACGTCGAAGACGAAGGAGATGGTCATGGACTTCTGTAGATCCAAACCTCCTCCTCTTCAGCCAGTGAACACCTGTGGAGTGGACATCATATCAATATCCAGGTGAACATCTGGATAATCAGTTGGACTGTCTAAGAATACAGACCCAGTCACAGCAAGGCAAGGTAGAGAAGGTCCCAGGGGCGAGCCACCACACGCCGGACAGTGAAGCGTGGGCTCAGGACCCTGGCAGCAGTAGAGATCAACGAAGAGACCAGAGTCCCTGAGCTTCAGCTCTGGAAGATCTTCCCCATGTGGAGAGCATCAAAGTTTGGAGGCTGGCAGATGATCAGGTGACAGCATGACTCATGATCGCTTCAGAGAAATAAAACGAGAGAAACTCATTTCTAAATATATGGTTGTGGTTTTCTGATTGTTACAGGTCTGGGTCAGAAGACTGAACCTGGAGGAGCTGAGTCCACCACACATGGATGGAGGATCTGGAACATCGAGCTACTGCAGACTGGCCTTGGAGAGGGAGCAGGTAGTCCTGGTTTACCACATGTAGACAGTTTGTGAGCGTGCCTCACAACCAATCAGCACGAAGGAGCTGGGTCAGCCTCACAGCCAATCAGGCCGGAGAGGCGGAGAACGACTTTGTCAGAAAGAGCTCCGAAACTTTAAATGTTGACGACACAGACATAAGAGAACACAGAGATATATTACCAAATGTCATCAATAACTGATAACTATTGACTGATATTAACAGATTTTTGTATAAACACCATGAAGTCTCGAGTCTTTGACCAATAAAGTTCATCCTTCAGACTTTTGAGAGTCAAAAGTTGAGTTCGTTGTAAACTCAGGCTGTTTCTTCGGCGAACACCGACCCCTCACACCGACCCCTCACTCGGACCCTCACACCGACTTCACTCACCGACTCCTCACACCGACTCCTCACACCGACTCCTCACACCGACTCCTCACACCGACTCCTCACACCGACTCCTCACACCGACCCCTCACACGGACCCTCACACCGACTCCTCACACCGACCCCTCACACCGACCCCTCACACCGACTCCTCACACCGACTCCTCACACCGACTCCTCACACCGACCCCTCACACCGACTCCTCACACCGACTCCTCACACCGACCCCTCACTCGGACCCTCACACCCACCCCTCACACCGACTCCTCACACCGACTCCTCACACCGACTCCTCACTCGGACCCTCACACCGACTCCTCACACCGACTCCTCGCACCGACCCCTCACACCGACTCCTCGCACCGACCCCTCACACCGACTCCTCACACCGACCCCTCACACCGACTCCTCACACCGACCCCTCACACCGACTCCTCACACCGACCCCTCACACCGACTCCTCACACCGACTCCTCACACCGACCCCTCACACCGACCCCTCACACCGACCCTCACACCGACTCCTCACTCCGACCCCTCACACCGACTCCTCACACCGACTCCTCACTCCGACCCTCACACCGACTCCTCACACCGACTCCTCACACCGACCCTCACACCGACTCCTCACTCGGACCCTCACACCGACTCCTCACACCGACCCTCACACCGACTCCTCACACCGACTCCTCACACCGACCCTCACACCGACTCCTCACTCGGACCCTCACACCGACTCCTCACTCCGACCCTCACACCGACTCCTCACACCGACTCCTCACACCGACCCTCACACCGACTCCTCACACCGACCCCTCACTCGGACCCTCACACCGACTCCTCACACCGACCCCTCACACCAACCCTCACTCGGACCCCTCACTCGGACCCTCACACCGACTCCTCACACCGACCCTCACACCGACTCCTCACTCGGACCCTCACACCGACCCTCACACCGACTCCTCACTCGGACCCTCACACCGACCCCTCACACCGACCCTCACACCGACCCTCACACCGACTCCTCACACCGACCCACACACCGACCCTCACACCGACTCCTCACACCGACTCCTCACTCGGACCCTCACACCGACTCCTCACACCGACTCCTCACTCGGACCCTCACACTGACTCCTCACACCGACTCCTCACACCGACCCCTCACTCCGACTCCTCACTCCGACTCCTCACACCGACCCCTCACACCGACCCTCACACCGACCCTCACACCGACCCTCACACCGACCCCTCACTCGGACCCCCACACCGACCCCTCACACCGACCCTCACACCGACCCTCACACCGACTCCTCACACCGACTCCTCACACCGACCCTCACGCCGACTCCTCACTCGGACCCTCACACCGACTCCTCACTCGGACCCTCACACCGACTCCTCACACCGACCCTCACACCGACTCCTCACACCGACCCCTCACTCTGACCCCTCACTCGGACCCTCACACCGACCCCTCACACCGACCCCTCACTCGGACCCTCACACCGACTCCTCACACCGACTCCTCACACCGACCCCTCACTCCGACCCCTCACTCGGACCCTCACACCGACTCCTCACACCGACCCTCACGCCGACTCCTCACTCGGACCCTCACACCGACTCCTCACTCGGACCCTCACACCGACTCCTCACACCGACCCTCACACCGACTCCTCACACCGACCCCTCACTCTGACCCCTCACTCGGACCCTCACACCGACCCCTCACACCGACCCCTCACTCGGACCCTCACACCGACTCCTCACACCGACCCCTCACACCAACCCTCACTCGGACCCCTCACTCGGACCCTCACACCGACTCCTCACACCGACTCCTCACACCGACTCCTCACACCGACCCCTCACACCGACTCCTCACTCGGACCCTCACACCGACTCCTCACACCGACCCCTCACACCAACCCTCACTCGGACCCCTCACTCGGACCCTCACACCGACCCCTCACACCGACTCCTCACTCGGACCCTCACACCGACCCCTCACACCGACCCCTCACTCGGACCCTCACACAGACCCCTCACTCGGACCCTCACACCGACCCCTCACACCGACTCCTCACTCGGACCCTCACACCGACCCCTCACACCGACCCCTCACTCGGACCCTCACACCAGCTTCAGTCTCTCTCTTCTTCACTCTGATCTCAGAAATCCTCCATCTCCTCTCAGACGGTGTTTGCTCTCGGCATCAGTCTGAATGTTGTTTTAATAAACACGTCGTCACAGGAGCTTTAACTTTCATCAAACTTGTTTTCTTTAAATTGTTTTTAAAGTTCAGATTCTCATTAAATTTCCTCTCAGGATAATAAAGTGATTCTTATTCTGCTCTAACGTTATAGTTGGAGGTTCTGAAGGCCTGAGTTTGCTGAGTTCTGAGTGTGTGTGGGTCTGTCCACAGCAGGCGTGTACACAGACTCTGACTGGGTGGGTTTGCCTTGTGTTACACTTGTGATTGATTGCATCACTGCTGTGGAACGAAGTCGGGTGACCGGGCTTTTATGGAGACCTCAGGACGCTGGTGTTGAGTTTCAATGGATATGCCCTTGGTCAGATAGTGACAATACTTCCCTGATCACAAACGGACACACACATCACACACACACTCAGAGCAGAGACATACACACACACACACACACACACACACACACACACACACACAGAGCAGAGACACACACACACACACACACACACACACAGATCAAACTTTCACTCCAACATTCAGACTCTCTCCTTCTTCACCACACTGAGAACATTTCTGTAAAACACTGATCCCTCTTCTTCTTCTTCTTCTTCTTCTTCTTCTTCTTCCTCTTCTTCTTCTTCAGGTTTCTCTCACTTTTGTTCCCTGAAGGACACACACACACACAGACACTCAGGAGTCTCGCGGACATGCCAGGCTGCTGTTGGCACGAGCATCAGAAAGGTGCCACACCTGTGCTGACATCATCTCATTCCACGGGCTCTGATTTCGGGTCCACTCATAACACTATGTAAGGTTCCCCGTGTGTGTGTGTGTGTGTGTGTGAGTGTGTGTGTGTGTGTGTGTGTGTGTGTGTGTGTGTGTGTGTGTGTGTGTGTACTAACTGCTGCTCTTTCTTTCTTCTTCTCTGTCACTCAGAGAGGATTTCTCTTTGCCCGGAGGGTCGCCCGCCGCAGTGAGTTAGGAGAGGACGGAGGAGTTAGGAAAGGACGGAGGAGTTAGGAGAGGACGGAGGCGCATTTTTGCTGCTCGTATCATCCAAAGGAAACAGACGGAGAGAGAGAGAGAGAGAGAGAGAGAGAGAGAGAGAGAGAGAGCGGCACCGGGACCGAACCTGCAGCCTGAGCGCACAACAAGAACCAGCTCTGCGCTCCTCACCGCGTCCTTTAACAGACCAACATCCCTTTAAGCGTCTGTTCGGAGAGGATAGGCCGACCTGTTCCTCTGATACCCTTTAAATATTCCACAGAGACAGCCGAGGCTCCACAGTCCCACAGACCCACGGAGGGTTCATGCGCCTTTCCGCAGCTCGGAGCTCCTCTGCTCGGTTCTTCTCGGGTTTTTTTGTGAACCTGTTTAGTTCTGAGAGTCGTGGAGCAGAAAAACCATGAAGAGGTTAACCACACCTTTGGAAGCAGACATCTCTACTCTGTCCTCTTGACCAAGTTTGTTGCGCATTAAAATGCGCCTCGCAGAAGAGGAGGTGGATGATGAACTTTCAGCGCTGATCTTCTGCTGAGGAAACAAGGACCTCCTATGTATCTGAGAGATAATCGGACCCGGAGTCGGCTGAGTTCATCAGGACTGTAAACTGTGAGTCTCCTGGAGGATCTGCTGCGTCTCTCTCACCATGACGGTCCGTCTCTCCCGGATCCAGCTCGCCCTCTTCTTTATCCTGCTCTGTCCGGTCAACATTATCGGACTCTGGTGGTGAGTTTTCCGCTTATTTCACCACGTGTCTGCTGTTTGTCCATCTGCTGTGTGAGTTATTCTCAGTAGGTTCAGCTGGCTGGTTTCTGAGGACGTCGTTTTTATTCATCTATATTTATCCTCAGGACTCAGCTCACCGGCTTTTCACCTAAATACCCAGAATAGCCGGACTGTGTGGACCAAAGTTAGAGGAGATTATCAAAAATCAGAGTGTGTGAAGATTATCTGAAACCACGAAGGAAGCAGATTAAACAGCAGCTGAAGTAGGAGAGATGAAGACAGTGACTTGTTTTAACAAAAGGAACATCTCAGTCAGTCACTGTTGTTGTAGATTCATCTTTACTGATAGTGACAAATATTTCCAGGTCTGAATATTTCCAGGTCTGAATATTTCCAGGTCTGAATATTTCCAGGTCTGAATATTTCCAGGTCTGAATATTTCCAGGTCTGAATATTTCCAGGTCTTAATATTTCCAGGTCTGAATATTTCCAGGTCTTATTGTTGCTCAGGTGGGAGATGTGGGTCCCTGGGGTGAAGGACAAGACAGAGAAACTAGGTGGTGAAAGAGGTGTCTGCTGCTGCACACAGCCTGCAGTGATACAGAGGAGAGAGAGTGAGGGGTGTGTGTGTGTGTGTGTGTGTGTGTGTGTGTGTGTGTGTGTGGTGGGGGTTTGGAGTCAGGAATGTCAGGTGGCCCTCTAGGCGCAGTGGATATGTCATCATAAAACAATCCATACAGGCTCAGCTCTGGAGGAGTGTGACAGTCGGACAGACAGACAGACAGACAGACAGACAGACAGACAGACAGACAGCTCCTGTGAGATCTGCTGATAACAGACTTTCTAACCATGTGGGTCTCTCTCTCTCTCTCTCTCTCTCTCTCTCTCTCTCTCTCTCTCTCTCTCTCTCTCTCTCTCTCTCTCTGTGTTTCATTAGACAACATTAAATACTTCTGCTCCTCTTTCCCTCTTCTGAGGAAAACACACACACACACACACACACACACACACACACACACACACACACACACACACACACACTCACAGTTTTGCGTAGCAGCTGTGTGCGTGTGTGTGTGTGTGTGTGTGTGTGTGTGTGTGTGTGTGTGTGTGTGTGTGTGTGTGTGAAGTTTGGAATTGTTTTTGTCTTGTTTGTTCCTCCTTGTTGAATCCTCCTCCAGTTCATTCACAGCCTCGTCAAGGTCAGTGTGTGTCAGTGTGTGTCGTTGTGTAGCAGCGGCTGTGAGAGTCTGTGTGTGTGTGTGTGTGTGTGTGTGCGTGTTAAACATCCTTCATGAGGGGGGGGGGCAGTTTCAGAGGACATGTTGGTCCACAGTTTACATGAGATGTTTGTCTGAATCAACCTGTCCAAGATCCTGGAGCTGCACATCCTGTCAGAAGATCATCTTTACATGATGAAGTCGACAAATCACGTGTGTGTGTGTGTGTGTGTGTGTGTGTGTGTGTGTGTGTGTGTGTGTGTGTGTGTGTGTGTGTGTGTGTGTGTGTGTGTGTGTGTGTGTGCGCTAACAGCCATAACATCCGTTCAGTGATCTCCTACACCTCCTGTCCAGGTGCTTCTATAAATGTGGACATGCAGATATCTTTCTTTATCTTGGACTCTTGGATCAGTCACTCTCCTAAACTTCAGTTCTTCCACTTTAATGTCAGACTCGACCTCTCAGGGTCCCGGACAGTTCTTCTCAAAGCGAGGACAGAGGGTCCGACAGGAGGACAGATCTGTTTGATGAGTAAAAATTCAGCTGCCTAAAACCTGACAGAGATAAGTGAGGATCAGCCGGAGGGGTTCTGGTCTGCAGCTGAACTCTGCAGTGACCCTGTTGTTGAAGGATGGAGGGAAAAACACTGTCCCTGCAGGGGTCCATCATGGACACTGTCTTCAAACACTAAAACTGCTAATATCTCGTCAGCCACCCTGAGCAGAAGACTTCTGTCACAGTTTTACACATTAACAGCTGAGCTGGTCCAGAAACTTTGACACCAGAATCATCAGAGTGTAGAAACACTGAAGATCTGTTCAATATCTGCGTGACTTCACTCCCGCACGGTAACTTCTCAACTCTGCCAAAGTCCCACCTGAGCAAACAGAAATGAAAAACAAGCTGGGTGTTATAAATCCTGATTCTCAGATGTTCTGCAGAAAGAGTTTGAGGAGGGGCTGTGAGCTGAGCTGCTGTTGTTCAGGATCTCCACCGTGTTCATCCTCCACAGAGACTTTTTCAGTGAACACCACCTCTCCTCCTCGCTCCTGATCAGAGACCTGAGCGAACTTTAACCTGCCTCCATCTTTTCATCAGGTTTGACTTTCCAGTTTGGAGAAAGGAAAGAGGTGGACGGGAATAAAACAAACATGGTGTTTTATCATTTATCTGGCTGAATGTCTGAGAGGGCAGCACGTGCACGTGGAGCAGCGGCGTGTGTAAGAAAGTATTCAGAGTCTGTAATTCTCACGTCAGCGCTCAGACTGGAGGCACACTCACCTGAGAGAGAGACGATTCAACACAGAGAAATCAGTGAGTTCCTTCTTATCCCCACTGACACTCATTGTCATCTTCTTTCACTCACTTCTTCAGTGGCCTGCTCACACACACACACACACACACACACACACACACACACACACACAGTGGAGGGTGAAGCCACACCTGCGGTCGGCTCTGCCGTCTGCCAGGACAATGATGTCCTCTGTTGAAAACTTCTGGACAGACCATCAAACATCTCTGTTTCTCGGCCTCAGCCTCGCTCCTCCACAGCGTCTCTGTCACGGAAGCTCGACTTGAGGCCACAGCTACACTGGCCTGTTGGAAAAACAGACTTATCTCAGAGAGAGGTGGTTGTTGAAGGAAGAGAGAGCAGCGCAGTGATAGACGGTGAAGGAGATGAAATGCGGTGAGATAAACGTCCTTTCAGAGCCTCTAATCATTTGGCCTGAGAGCAGAGGCTCAGGCGGAGGACGGAGGAATGCGTTTGCTCTCTTACGCTGGTTCTGGTCGGGACAGCTTTGCCTCGTGTTTCCTGGGTCAGTGTGTGTGTGTTTCAGCCCCAGTTTGGTGGTTTACAGGTGAACACTCGCTGTCTTCAGATCTGTACAGAGCTTCAGAGCTCCTCTGTGTGTCAGTCTGAATACACTCAGCCTATGGATCCTGGTTCTTTGGTTTCACAGGCTCTCAGACCAGCACAGAGTCCCTCCTTCAGCCTCATCTGTACCCACTAACTGTTCGCTCTAAACCGCCGTCATCTCTGAGGAGAGCTTCATCCTAACAGATCTTATCTCTGCTCTGAAAACCTCGGTGTCTAATCAGGAGCAGGGAGATGGGCTCAGATAAAGATGATGATGATGATGATGATGTGGGTTTGGCACCAGGTGAAGAACTGAATTAAAATCTTGTTTGACATCGTGTGACAGTTTTCTACTTCTGCAGGAATTTAAAAACAGTCCAGACAAACACAACCTAGAAGCTGCATGAAGTATCCAAATATCCAAGTACTACACACTACAGCCGATACTACAGCGGGTACTACAGCGGATACTCACCATAACCAGCTGTGGAAGCAGAAGAAATCACTGCTTCCACTCACTGATACTCATGATTTCATAAAGCTGGATTACTGTGAACAGATAATTTACAACAACAGTCATCAACAAACTGTTACTGTGTGAACACTACCTCTCCACCTCTCAGTCATAAAGTCTGAAGGTCCTTACACACCGGGCGAGAATTCGCCAGGCGAATTATTCGCCTTTTTTTAAAACAGCATAAAGTCAATGCAAGCTTCCACACCGGCGGCCATTTTTCCGCGGGGTGAAAAGACGCTTTTATTTTTTCGCTCCTGTGTCGAATTTTTCGGATATTCGCAGGCGAATATCTGGACCTGCTAGACCTCTGGCCAATCAAAAGTCATGTTGTTGATGACGTCACAGACCCATACGGCTGGAGGAGAGGGAGAAGTTTGAGATTATGAAAACGCAGACAAAGACAGCTGAGGTGCATCCAAAACTCTTTCTAATTACAAATGAAGTAGTTTTCTCACAAGATGACACTCTCTTGTCTTCCACCTCGCATCTCCTCTCCTCCGTGCCGCAAAGCGACTTTATTAATTCGCTTTGCAAAAAATATACGCATATTCGCTTCGCGGCCGGTGTGTATAGGCGAAAGAGATTTTTCGGACCGGTGAATATTCGCAATTTTCGTCTTGCATTTTCGCTTCGCTCCGCAAATTCGCCGGTGTGTAAGGACCTTGAGGTTGATGTAACGACACGGAGACAGCTGACTTATTAAAGTCTCATGATACACTGTCGTGATCAATAGTCAAATGATAACTGATCAGTCAATATGGAAACAATTCATCACAATTATTTAGACGTAAATGTTTGTGTTTTTGATCAGATAGAAGAGTTTCAACGACGAGCTGTCCAGGCAGCTGCAGACGGCGCTCGCTGACGTTCGCTGACGTTCGCTGGTGTTTACTGCCGCTAGTCACTAACAATCCAACATGGTGGATCCTATTTGAAGCTAGCGCAGGATCTTCTGCCGGCCGGCTTCTTGCTCTGACAGAGGGGGTGTGTCGTGGGGAGGGCGATACAGGTTCAGGGGGCGGAGTTATCGTGGAGCTCAGAGGGGAGAGGTTTGTGTGTGTGTGTGTGTGTGTGTGTGTGTGTGTGTGTGTGTGTGTGTGTGTGTGTGTGTGTGAGGGGCCGGGACAGCTCAGTTTTTCTCCTCAGATTGTCACCCAGACCAGGTGGACGTCGTCTCTTTAAAAACGTTTAAATATCAACATTTCTTCAGACTTTAGTCACAGCTGAGGCTGACAGGAACCAAAGTACTTCAGTAATAAAGTTCTTCTTTGAGTACCTGTACCTCATGTGAAACTTTGACTTCAGTACATCTGAAGGGTAAATATTAGACCTTTGACTCCTCAGGGTTTCCGTAAATGTTTCTACTACTTCTTCTGTTCTTGCTGCGGTTTTTCGTTGTTTCTGTGATGTTTTCGGAGAAGACTCGAATCAGCTTGAAAACTTTGAGTTTTGATCTTCTAAGTTATTTCATTGAAACGACATCAAAATAAATTCATTCAGATTCCACCGCTGAGTTTCTTTCTGTCTTCTGGTCCCAAAGACGTTAAACTCTGTTTGTGCAGTTCTGCTCGTGGTTCTTCTAAAAGCTGTTTCTGAACCTTTATGTGAAGTTTGTAGAAAAACCACCTGACCACCTGACCACCTGACCACCTGACCACCTGACTGAAGCCCCTGTTTGGGTTTTTCAGTGAATAATAATGATGGTTTCAAACGTTTGCACTAATGATTGTTTATGAGCTTCATCAGAGTCAGAAAAACTTTACTCTCCAGTTTGAGAAAGTTTTTCTTCTGTTTTTATTTCTATATTTAAAAATCATCTTTAGGATAAAACTTTAAAAAAGTCAATAACATTAAGAATAAAGACAGTGTAGGAGCAGAACACATATTTATGACTGAGAGTGAAAAAGTCCGTACATGGATTATGTTCCTCATCCTGTGTTAGCAGTATGAGCTAACAGAGTAGCTGTCGGTCCACAGAGTTTCTGTTCAGGAGCGACACGCCAACGGGAGCTGAAACTCAGTGTGTGAAGGAGGAGGAGGAGGACAGTAATGACATAAAACTAACGCTGCAGCGTTCAGGAGTTCAGGTCTGAGAGTCTGAGGTGAGACAACAACACATGAAGTGACCTCTGAACTTCTGCCTCTCAGTGGTCAGTTACCAGGAGATGTTCATGGTCAGGTCTGTTCTGACAAATCCATCAACAAATGGACCGTGGCTGAATTTACCATCAGGTGACTCCATGGTCAGACAGTTGTACGACGGTTCTGTCCTCATGTTGAGAAACGTTTGTGTGGAAAACAGAGAGTGAGGGTGGAGGAACACCGCCCGGCACACTGAGACCTTCGAGATGATCGATCACCAGGTTGGAGATTTTTGCCCTCTCTGGATGAAATCCCAGAATTCACAGGGTGAAGTTCCTGCTCGGTTTCCTGAAGTTTCATCTTGACAAAGTTTTAAAAACTGGACAGAATAAAAACCTGTTTTGTTATTAATACAGAGACGTGTGATTGGAGCTCTTACTGCGATGAAAGGACCTCTTCACCTCTGCCTGATCAAATCTCCGTGTTTATTAAAGGTTCTGCAGGTTCACGGTCCGAGCTGAGGACCTTTAAATTTCTCCTGTTTCTTCTGTTCATCTGCAGCTGTTTTCACACTGAGGTTACTCACAGTTTTAATAATTTACAAACTGATAGTTTTTATCTCTGTTTCTGCTTCAGGATCCGTCAGTTTTATTATGAATCTTCGGTTTCTTCTCGTCTTCTTCGTGTCAGTGTGTCTAACGTTGTCGTGACTGTCTTCATCTGCAGCATACTTGAGGGATTAAGGGAGGATGAAATTCACTCACCCGGGAGGGAGGAGGTGAGAGGGGGTGAGGGAGTACAGCACTTCATTTATGGTGGCGTTAGATCCCTAATGAAACCTGAGGTCGCTCTGAGCACCAACGTTGAGTTTCTGTCTCACTAACACCACGACATGAAGATTTAGTTCTGGACGGTTCTGAAACCTGCTTCTACCTTTCCACAGGTGTAGGGGGCGCTGCTCTCAGTACTTCAGAGTATTTATTTCTGTCACTTTGTCTTTGTTGGAGAACTTTAGTGTCATGAAAACCGTTCATGAAGACGGTGTTTCCTCTAAGGCCCCTGATAACTTCATGACTGCATGTTCCTGTGGTTGGACCTCAGGTGTCGGGCAGCACAGCGGCACTTTTCATCAGAAGGATCTGATGACTGTCAGCCTTCGTAGTTCTTCGTCCAGGGTACTCTTGTCTCTGTGCACGGCTGCAGAGCTGCACATGTGTCTCACTTGGATTAACGTCCGCGTGTTTATCAAGAACACCTGCAGAAATATCAGCTGATGTGAGTGCACTTATTGGAGTCTTTGGATTTATGGAAGCAACAGAGGACCACAGGAGAGGAGGAAAACAAGAGACACCAGGATGAGATGAAAGAGGATAAATAATCCCTTTAGTCACCGTCAGGTCTGATTCTGCCAGAGCAGTAAAGGGAGGATGTTTTACACACCGTACACCAAAATCTGACATATTGAACATTTCCAGTGTTCCAAACTAACCGCTGCTTTGGTCAGTTTGGTAAATCACTTCTTGAGTTTTAGCACCTTCCACATTCACTTTCATGAGTCTACAGTCAAGTGTTCCCATATTCCAGTCCCTCTTACTGGGATCCACACGTTTTTTACAGATCTCCAAACAAGGGCAAGAATGCTCGGTGCCTACAGCCGTCTGATTATCCAATAAATGAACCCCATTTTTGGATATATCACCAGCAAAGCGCTTTTCCACCTCAGTTCACTCAGCTCTCCAATTCAGGCCTCATCCCCGTCCTCCTTTAATCACAGTTGGATTTTAAACCCGGTTCTGATGATAGTCCAGAGGTGATTATCTGTTCTGTCTGTTCAGCTGTTCAAAAACACGAGATTCTGTCACTTTGACCCTGAAACCAGTTTGATCCTGTGGGCTAATAAACGGTTACCTCACTGTTATTCCCTCATCTACAGTAGCTGCACACACACACACACACACACACACGTAGATAATGATTGGTTGTTGAGGAGGAGTGTATATGTACCTGCTAATTAACATACAGACTGTCTGTGGGACTTAATCATCTGTGTGGATACCACACACAGACACAGACACACACAGACACTCACACACACACACACACACACACACACACACACACACACACAGACACACACACACACACAGACACACACACAGACACAGACACTTGTGTAAAAGTCGCACACTCAGATTACACAAACAGAACACCTATTTTGAAAATACAGAACTGTTTCCATGGTGATGGTGTCGGTACACTCTTAATGATCACAAAAGGGATGTGTGTGTGTGTGTGTGTGTGTGTGTGTGTGTGTGTGTGTGTGTGTGTTTCAGTGCATGTGAACAGTCTTGTCTGTTGTTGTCGTTGACTTGAACATCTCTATGATCACACATCTGTAGTTATGAGAAGAAGTCGTTTCTGTCGTCTGAAGTTCTCGTGTCTTTGTTGAACGTTCTGGTGGATTAAAGTCTTCGGGGACTTTATCCTCTGATCCCACGATGACTCAAAAAGATTTAAACTTTCATTCTTTCATAGAAGAAAATGTTTATGTGTCAAATATTAATAAGCAGAATAAATTAAACAAAAAGGAGTTTTTAAGAAAGCATGCATGCAGAAGTTGCTGTACCTGTCGGCCATATCATTAACATTAATTAACATTAATTAACATTAATTAACATTAATTAACATCATGTATTTAAGTCCTGAGAAATTAATCCTTCCAGCTGCAGCGTTTCTGTGGTTCCAACAGCTCTCCACGAGGCGGATCTTCAGCTTTAGGAACTTGATGTTGATAGTTTTTAAGTTTAAGTTTTTAACATGCCTGTGAAACGTGAGACAAACTCCAATAACCAGGATCATCATCATCATCATCATCATCATCATCATCATCATCATCATCCTCCTCTGTTCCTCACGGCTCTGTGTGAATTCTCTGTCTTTATCATATCAGCCTGTTTGTTGAGGAGGTCTCGCTCCTGTTGTCAGAACTGTTGGAAATATTCAGACCTGATAAACATGACCTGTTTTACTCAAACTCTGACTTTTACCCTCTTTGGTAATATAATAGGGATGTTTTCTATCCAGATCAGCTTCATCTGGTATTCTCTTTTTGTGCTGACACCGACTGTGGCTGAAGTGGTGAAGCTCCTCACTGATGCAGAATCCTCAGAAGTTATATCAGCAGGAGGATCTAGACAGTCTGACATCTGGTTTACCAAAATCAACTCAGCCTGGAGTTCAACTGTATAAGAGTGTCTGTGAAGACACGTCCAACTCTGTGAGGACCACACAGAGAAAATACTGAGTCTGATGTCCGAGCTGAGATGTCTCTGGGAAACGTGGTGATCTGTTGTCTCTCACACGTCTATTTAAGGAGAAACATCTTCACCACAGAGTTGTCAGGAAAAGCAGCCGCAGACAGAAAACTGTATTTGGTTTGTAGCTGCAGAAACTTGCAGGCATGTTTGTTTTTCTGTGTGATTAAGTGAATTTTGTGTGTGTGGGAATTTTCAGTCTTCATGTTGTAAGGATGATTTCTTTTTTTTTATTCTAGGGCGGTGGGCAGTCCGTTGGTGATGGATCCCAACAGTATCTGCAGGAAGGCGAAGCGTCTGGCGGGGAAGCAGGCCGAGCTGTGCCAGACTCAGCCGGAGATCGTCAGTGAGGTGGCCAAAGGAGCCAGGCTGGGGGTCAGGGAGTGCCAGTACCAGTTCAGGTATCGGCGGTGGAACTGCACCAGTCACAACAAATACTTTGGAAAAATACTGCAACAAGGTGAGTTTGGAGGTTCTCGTTGGTGTTTTTTAGTAATATTTTAGTTTTGTCAGTAAAAGCATCTTCTGCCTTCCTTTCCTCAGCTCTCCCTAAATGTGAGCTAGATGTGTTCGTGGCGTAGCGTTGTCTGATGGCGTAGCGTTGTCTGACATCTGTAAGCACCTCCAAAAGTGAACATTTTGGCACAGATTTCATGAATTGCGTTGAATTCAAACAGACTGAAAATGTGGATCTTCAGAGACCACGTTCACAGTCTGGCTCAGGTTCTGGATCCTGTGGCACCAATAAATATTTTGGTAACGTATTTGATTTTAAGAATCACAGCAGGCTGGACTGACAGGCAGGTACACTGGCACCACTTCGAGGAGGTCAAAGGTTGGTTGAGTCAGCATGACTAATATGGCGACTGCTGCTTACAGGCTTATGAGGGAAATCACAAACGTTACATCCAGTTATTATTCAGTCAAAGTTTGATCTAAACAGAAAAGTGTAAAAAGTAATCAGGCCGATGTTTGACTTTTGGTCATTTTAACACATTTACTGGATAAATGTTAAAATAGTTTAATAAATAAAAGAGCCTTTGGTGGAAAACATGAAACACTGAGAGTTTCAATCATGTGACCGTAATGATGTCGCAGTAGAGAAGCTCGGACCAGTCTGCTTTAAGGACCAATGAAGACACGGCTCCATGTTCTCGTTCTGAACCGGTCCGTGAAGCTCAGCTGTGTCCGTACTGGATTTACATTTTACTCACAGATTCAAGGCTGAGGCAGGTTTTTACTGACGGAGCTCCTCTGCCTGGAGATGGCGCTGTGCAGAGGGTGATGGGGATTGTCCTGGATGGAAAGGAACCTGGCAGGAGTTCTCTGGAGCTTTGTCAGGAAATACAGTTGTCTCTGCCCCTTCCTGTGCAGGACGTCTGAGTTTAGTGACCAGTCCAGCCTCTCGTCCAGATGCAGTCCCAGGTCTTTGTGGGTCCCGGTAAACTCCACCAGGACACCATGGATGGTCACAGGCTGGTGGAGGGGCCTGGGCCTCCTGAAGTCGACCACCATCTCTTTGGTTCTGGAGGCGTTGATGTTCAGGACTGACACCAGGTGACAAAGTCATGGATGAGGTTCCTGTACTCTTCCTCCTGACCATCCCTGATACACGCCACCATCACCGTGTCATCTGAGAACTTCTGCGTGTGGCACAGCGCTGAGTTGTTCCTGAAGTCCGATGAGTTTAGGATGAACAGGACAGGAGAGAGCACGGTCCCCTGTGGAGCTCCGGAGACCTCCAGCCGGACATACTGGGGTCTATCAGTCAGATCGTCCGTAAACCACGCTACAAGGTTTTAATCCACACCCGTGTCAGTGAGCCTGTCTCTCAGGATCAGGGGTTAGAAGGTGCTGATGGGCTGAAAGAATCAGAGAACATGATTCTCACTGCTGTCCCGGTGGGAGAGAGACTGGTACCCTCCTCCTGATACGGGAACTGGAGGGGGTCCAGTGCAGGCGGACTTGTGGCCTCAGATGGTGCAGCAGGAGTCGCTCCAGCGTCTTCATCACATGTGAGGTCAGGGTAACTGGTCTGAAGACGTTGAGCTCCTCTGGGTGAGGTTTCTTTGGGACTGGGACGATGCAGGACATCTTCCACCTGTGAGGAACCTTCTGAGAGCTCAACATGATGTTCTCCTTTGTTTAGCAGATACTTCACAGTTACTTTGTCGACTCTTTAAACCGGTGTGTTCTCCAGAGTTTCCTGGAGTATGGTTTCATAGATTTCTGCTGCTGGGGTCACCTTAATCTTTGAGGATCTGTCAGACCCTTCAGACCCCTCAAAAGCCTGGAACAGGGTTTGAATCCTTGTCCCATTTCTGAGGACTTCAGGCTCTGAACCCATGACCTCATGAGTACAGCTGGTGGCCTCGCATCAACTCGAGGCCAGACCCTGGTCTAATGGCACCGCAGCAGACAAGGGCAGCTGTTGTACTTCAGCGCAGACGTCTTCACAGTCGACTGCCTCTCCTCTTCATCAGATCGGACACGCTTGAACTCATCAGTGAAAATTGCCTTTTCCCTGAACATCTCTCTGAAGATCTCTGAAGATCTCCCTCCAGCTCTTTGAAGTTGGGTCAGAGCTCGATCCTCTTAAATTACTGTGTTGGTTTTTCTCTCTATCATTAGATTTATAGAGGGCTGCCTGTCTCTCTCTCTCTCACTGCTGTTACTGAGGGCCTTTGTGTCAGTGTTGAGTCAACAAACTGGGAGGAACCACGACGACAACAACAACAACATCATGTCTCTCATACTCTCAGGATCTGTACGCTGATGTTTCACACACCTGCTGTTGACTTCACATTAAAACAGCACCTGGAAATTTAATCGTTTATTTTCTATGATGTTACAGTTATTGATTAACTGTTATTTGCATCTCCAGTAATTTCTACAGTATTGCTGAAAGTCTGTTGTCTGAACCAAACGCTCAGCGGTCTGAACCCACCGATCGAATCAGTCACTCGTTTGGTAAAACCACCTTTCACTTGGTTAGACACAACATGCAAACTCACTCTCACCTGCAAAAACACGTTGGGCCTGATTTACTGAAGGACTGCGTTTATATAATCACTTACAGACTTGATAGTGGGCGCAAAGATGATCTACTAACTGGGTGCACCAGGAACTGTGTCTGTCAAAAGAGCAAAAAAACACAATCTAGTTATTAAAACATGAAAATACTGGGAGAAGAATTTGCAAATGGAGTCATTGAGCACCTGCATGTCCACATATCTGGAGAGAAACAGTAAAATAAATGTCATTTTTAAGGGCTGCTTTAGAGCCAGAGACCAAGAGGAGCCATGACATATCTCAAACTGCATTTTCCTGCGTCTGGATCATTCCAGCGCTCCACCGCAGTTATTGCCGGCGTCTCCCAGAGTCGTTTTTCTGGTGTGCTGCCCCAAGTGGTGAACGCTGTGTAACACAGGATGGAAGAGTATATCCAGTTCTCACGCACTAAACACGCAGGAAATGACACTAAACACGTCTTTATGCAGTTTCTGGGTACGACTCTGTGACTTCAAACCTCATTTTTTAGTTTACAGTCTCTCTGCTCTCACAAACTCTCCATGACCACAGCTGGTAGCACACGCAATCATAGTAGATCACTGCAACAAGCACACTAATAACACATGCATTTTTTGGTTTGCACACATAGTTGAGAACTTGTTATTGAGGATCTTAGTAGATCAGCCTCTTGGTGTTTTCTCTGACTGAGAGTTCAGAGACATGAAGATACAGCAGCAGGAAAGGGGCAAGAATCTACTGGTAGAAGACAGAGCAGCAATTAATCATGAATTCTTTCCTGTCTATAAAGAAAGTCAAAGTACTCGTGTGTTTAGGAGCTTTGGTCCACAATAACACAGCTCTGACTGTTTAACACAAGGACACATGAAACACAGAATCAAAGTGTTTTAGTTTGTTTGGTTTTAGTTTAGTTTGGTTTGTTTTTGTTCACACAGGGCCTGATCGACTAAAGGTTTGTGTTTATAAAAACACCTGAAAACTTGACCTACTAACCGGGTTCACCGGGAAATGCTTCTCTCAAAGGAGAGAGAATAGGATGTGTCTATTTAGCGTGAATATACAGAATGTACGCAGATCATCAGAACGTCAAAATACTGGGAGGAGGAGGAGATGCAAATATTCATATTTAGCAGTGACGTGTCCTTCAGCGTTGAGGCTTCAGAGCGTGTCGAGTAATCCCCTAAAATTTCTGTATCGAAGCTCGTGATGATGACGTATGTGGTGATGTCACGAGCTGGTCGTACCACATGACCGGTTTGGTGGATGATTGTAAATATAAGGGGTAGCTAAATGCAGTGAAGTAGACTGACTGTCAAACAGTGATTGTTTTTAGATCGATAATAATAAACGTTCACATGTTTCATGTCGTCTCTGGTAACAAAACCAAGTAACAGAAGTTGATTCAGATCTTAACCCTCTCCATAATTACGCCCTCTGCTGCTGAGTCGTATAAATGACACCGTCTTAGTTCATGATGTCATTAAGGAGACGCCTTAATCCAAAGAGACGCACTTTCGACAACAACTGAGCTCTTCTCGCAGAGAGTCGAATGTCTTTCCACAGGATGCTTCAGCACACGGGCGACCTCCTGTAGAATCGACCCGCTGACCTGCTGACCCCGCCCACTGGGAGGTGACTGACTCTGATAACTGAGGCACCGCTGCACTTGATCCTTTCCACCATCATTTCTGTGTTCCAATCACAAACACACACCATCACATCCATTCAAAGCTTCGCACACCGAATTCTCCGGGGGTCTTTGAAAATCACGCCGCCTGTTTTACATTCATGGTCCACTTGATGGCGCAGGTGAGCAGATGAAGCAGCATGAAGCTTCAGCGCTTCACGATGCTTCATCTCACCATCACTAATACTTCGCTCCATGTGACCTGGTCGTGGTCGGTGGTTCTGGGTCTGTAGTTTTGAGAGGCAGGTGAAAAGTGATGAAGCGTCACACAGAGACAGCTGTGGTCATCGTAGTGAGAGGGAGGAATATCTGCACTGACAGACGACAGAGAGAGAGAATCTTCTGTGAACTTATTTAGACTGTCAGAAATAAAAACAGTAGAGACGTATCGTCTGTCCAGTCATGTCATTTCTGAGCTGCTGGAGGACCTCAGCGCTGATCTCTGACGCTCCCCCTCCTCCTCCTGTTGTTTTTTATTTAGGGAAAGTTTCTCTTTGTTCTTCTGCAGAGATCTTTTTATTTCATCACCAGATCATCTGGTTTTCCTCACAGCATTCACCTTTTCACAGACGGCCTCTCCAATCACGTTTCTTCTGACAACACTGAGATGTTTCAACATTCGACCTCTCATCAAGTGTGTGCAATTATAAATAAATAAACCTTCACAGGTCTGGTCATGTTTTCTACCTCACTCTCTGTCCTCGATTAAACAATCTTTTATTTTGATGATGTTTCAAGAACAAACAGAGACGTTCACAGCCAGACTTTTTTTAAATACATATTCAGTCAGTCGGTAAATTTCAAACTGATTTCTTCTTCTACTCTCTCTCTCTCTCTACAGGTGCTTACACCTGAGAGGAACTCTAATGAAAGAACGTTTCTGTAAATCGATGTGTCAGAAATGAACCGATCCAGAACAGGGTTGATGTTGGTGAAACACAGCGGACTAAAGAGGCAGGAATATTTCACTCAGTCTGACTCTCTCTGATGAACGATCATCTGTTACCGAGTTCATTTGGACCTGATCAGACTGAATAATCAAAGTGAATAATTGTACCTGGTTATATTTGACCCGTCCCTCATCAGTGAGAGGTCTGCTCAGTTCTGTGATCCTGAACATGGAAACACAGATATTACAGAAAGTTTTACAGGTGAAAGAACCTTAACCCTCTAAACTGGATCAACAGAACTTTGGTTCCAGTCCGAGTTCGGACAATAAAACCCTCCAAATACAGAACTCTGCTGTCCCACTGGGACATGAAACAAACTTAATGACGGTCAAATCTGTCAGACATCCTGAGACATGAGCTCAAACCTCGTCTGACATGAGTCTGAAGTTTGGTGTTTGTTTCTCGTCTGTTTGTGATTTTGTGTTTTCGGTAAAATCCTCTGATTCTGTTGATGAGGACTTTGTTAGATCCTGGTCTCCTCTGTGGGTCTGTGTGTTGATGCCATAAGCTGATGGAGGTAGGATGACTGTGGTGACGAAAAGACTTTGTTACGACAGGAAAAACAGTATTTGTGCGACCATGAGGGACACTTTTGAGTTATTCCAGGTTTGTTTGTAATCTTGGTTTCTGAAAATAGATCCTCATTTGTCTTCGTCGGTCTGTGTTGTTGCTTGTTCTGCGGTTGTCCTCTCTGTTTCTCAGAGTCTGACCTGCAGAGTCAGAGCGTGGATTTGTGACGTATGAAATCTCTCTGCGTCTCTGCGGTTTGGGTCTGTTAGAGGTTTACAGGTTTGAGGGCAGAAATACTCAGAAATGAAACTTCAGGCTTATTTTTCTCTCATGAGATGTCCTGAAACATCAGAAAACTGCCAAATGAACATGCAGACAAGAACAGAAACATGATTTTAAATCGGAGTGGGTCTTTCAGTGGATCCAACATCAGTCCATGGACTCACACAGCAGGGGGCTGTAGGAGTTCTGACCTGAGTCCAGTATATTTGAGTGAAAAGGCTGAAACCTGTAAACAGTAAACGTCCCACAGACAGGCAGACCTGACTGTAAAGGTACTGAGAGCAGATTCACTGATCGGTTTGATTGATGGAGGGACTTCATCTCTCTGCACCCTGATCTTCACACTGAACCCCTCTTTGGTCTGATGGTCCTGATGTGGTTTCACCAAATCCCACCTGGACCATGATGAACAGATTGAGCAGCAGTTAAGTTTATCTTGGTCTCCAGCTCAGACAGCCCACCGTCCTCATGTATGAGTCCCTAAAAGTCAGAGTATTAAAGGAATATGTGCTAATTCCTGCAGAAGGCTCTTGATGGAATTAGAAGCAGACATGGACAGGCCCAGACACCCACCATGTTTGGAATTCATGTCTCCGAGGAGAGGAAAATATGAAACAGGGAGCCTGAAATCATCGGATTTCTGAGAGATTCTGTTACTCCCAACAAAACACGGTTTTCTCTTCTCTCCTCACCGTCATTTTCATGACCTCTGACTGTTGTCTGGACCTTCTCTCAGCATGAACCAGGTGAAGTTTAATCATAATCTCAGCAAACACTAAAGTCAGGTCTTTATTGGAGCACCTGAGGGTCTGTGAACAGGAACGATCACGATTCTGATTCTAATGAGTTCCTGCAGATATTTGGGGTTTCTAAGTAGATCCAGACATGTTTTCACAATGACACATCTCCATGTCAGAAATCTTCTGAACAGTGAGCAGTGAGAGGCGTGGTCTCAGTTCAGCACAGATAAACATGAACACAGACACCATCATGTTCAGTCCTACGTAGATGTTCAGTCCTACGTAGATGTTCAGTCCTACATAGATGTTCAGTCCCACATAGATGTTCAGTCCTACGTAGATGTTCAGTGTAGTGATCTATAGGTGATGGTATCTACAGACAGTTCAGATAAAACACTGATGTCAGTTTAACAAAGACCACAGAGAGTTTTAATGTCAAACACATCGAAGAGAAACATCTGACAAAAACAGTAAAATGATAAAAATGATTTAAATCGACAAAAACAAACTTTACAAACTTACATTAACGAGAAACACAGATTAACCTGCAGCTGGTTCTGATATCACAGCGAGTGTGTGTGTGTGTGTGTGTGTGTGTGTGTGTGTGTGTGTGTGTGTGTGTGTTCTAATGAATCCCATTGGTTTAATCATGCTATGATCTGTGGTTGTCAGTGTTGTCAGTGTTGTCTGAATGCTCACCTGCCCCTCAATCAAACCTCCTCTCTCTCTCCTCACTCACACACTTTTATACTGACCCACACAGTCGCCTTTATTTTCCTACGTCTTGCTCTTTCTAACTTCACTGAAGCTCCGTCCTGTTAATCCTAACCAGGGTCCCTATGATCCGAACAGCTCACTGGTTTCTGGACAGAACCTTTGAAGGACCAAAGTTCAGCAGTAAGTGACTCAGTCTGACTAACCCTCTTCACACTGGAGCAGGAACTGAATCATCGTCTGTTTGTGACAGTGACTGATCACAGCAGCTGATCAGTAAATATCTGATCCACACGTCCATGACCCTCTTTATTTCTGCTGACCTGGAGGTTCACACCAGACTGGATGGTCTCATGAAGTAGAACTGATCCTGCAGGGTCCAAAAACACTTCAGTGCTGAAGTTCATAAAGACACCAGTGTGTTTGATTATTAATGAACATAAAGAAATCAGACTCTTTAATACATGCTGACATGTCTGATTAATGATCTGATTTTCTGTCATCTTTTTGTTCTAAATATAAAAAGATTCAGATTTCTCTGTTCAGTTTATATCCTGTTATATTCTAGATTATGATGAATTTCTATCTTTAGTTTATCTCTACACTAAACAACCTTAGGTCATTAAATATCTGTTCATTTATTATCATTTTCAGGTTTTAGTTTTTTAACATTTTTATTTTTTATCTCCATGTTTCTAAAGGTCAGGCCATCTGTGTGTGTGTGTGTGTGTGTGTGTGTGTGTGTGTGTGTGTGTGTGTGTGTGTGTGTGTGTGTGTGTGTGTGTGTGAGGGTTGTGTTTTTATTGTTGTTACTGTTGTTTTCAGCCTCTGTGAGGACCTCTCGATTGTATTTTTGTTCCATAAAGATAAAGTTGAACGTGCTGAATGTTGAATGTTGAATGTTGAATCCTCTGATTGAGAGGACGGTGATAACGC